CCAAGCAGGTCCCTTAGGTCGTACCTTACCGTCATATTAAAATCTAGCATCTAACTCCTTGCATCTAACGAACATGGCTGCCCGTAGCAAGTCTTTAACTGTTCTACTCAGCTGAAGAACAAGAGCCGCGTCTGTTTACTAATCATCATTACTTCACAAGCTAAACCAGCCTAGCTGATAAAAACACTCTTGCCGTCATAGGTGCTCTCACTGCGTCAATGTCATTAAAACTACATTCTATCGCCATTTAGAGACAGCTCTTGTCTTTCTTTAATCTGCTGAACGTATGAATATCTTCTTCGTAAGCATACTAATGATTATATGACGCCTCCACTTGGAGCGAATAGAATTCTAGTAAACTCTAACGGTTTACTTTTACTTACTGGGTGCAGTTGTATTACGACATCGTGATCATGGTAAAGTCGGCAGCTATGCACTTGACTACTTCCTGCGGACTGACAGCCACGTGACTGTTACATGGGATTTCTCAAGGTTCTTCGCCCACTGTCGCTCCTGTTACTGTTCAGTGCTTTGTCCACCCTCCGAACGGCCTACCCAACGTTATAATGCTGTTTCGATAGCGCGCGTCAAAGAGGCTTCCACACGACCAGTGCCCCAACGGCAGCTACGAAACCATCTTCTGACGACTCTCGATGGCAGACGCTTCTTGGTCCTCTGCTGCTTTGGGAAACAGGTACTACCGCTGCCAGGCATCGTCATGGTCGCAAACGCCGCCGAGTCGACGGCGCCAACAGCAGAGAGTTGCAAGTCGCCTACAGTCAGCTGATGCTAGCGGGTTACATCTTCTTTGGCTTATTCAATAGCTGAAGAGTTAGCTTTTGGTAAACAGCATAGAAGTGCAGCAGCAGAAAATGGTTTATTCGCTTAGGCTGCTAAATTGCCCGTCCTCGTGACAGTGCAATAATAATGTGGCCATCCACTATAGGATCGAAACCAGGCGTTGAGCTGAATTTGTCTGTCTGCAGCAATGCCTAGCAGGCTAGTGCCGGACGTAAGATTCAAAATACTTTTACCTGCTAGGCTGCTTTGCTCGTTTACTCTCTTCCTTGTTAAAATTACGCGCAACTTTAGCTTGTTAAAGATTGCTGCATCACCAGTCTCTGCTACATATAAGCAGTACTACAGTATAGGCATCGTTAAGGGCAACCGCAGTAGTAGCTGAAGAACGCCATAACGGCACAGAAATCCGTTCCTCTTTAGCGGCTAAACAGCCACAAGGTACGCGATACCTAGACATGCAGCCATAATCATGAGGCTACTGGTATAGCTGCCGTAGGCGTTCTGTGGCCTTTATGAGCGTCGGCTATAGTCGCCGACGATGACACTCGGTAAGTAGTTATATTCAGGGGCAATTGCAAATCTAAACCATGCGGCAGTTATTATAACGAGATAACTGACAGTGGACCCATATAGCTTGAAAAGAAGATGGCAATAATTTCGACGTTTCCCACTCACAGTGTGACACACTTTCGACCTGAATCCTGAAGTTCATCATTCATTTTAGACACCTTAGCTTCGTTGCCAATCTAAGCTAAAAGCTGTTGTTACCTGTTTCAACGACAATCGTCACAGAGCCAGCAAGCTTTTTCTATTTAATCATATAGTCGCTTGTAACTGGTCATTGTGCTAGCTCTTTTCCTTCGCTGCTTAAGAGCCAATCTAAAAAAGATGCCATTAATCTAAGATCACATCTGTCATCGATCAGAGTTGCACAACATTTCTACATGTATAAATACGTAACTAAATCAACGAAGAGCGCTACTAATACTAAGAGCTGATTGTGGAATGAAACTTCGACACAAGTATCTTATTGACATATATTATCGCATTAATGCTCGCTAAACGAACGTACTTTCAGAATCGATTTTCATATACTTTCGGGCTAAAAGAAGCTTTCAGATTACTCTAGAGTAGGGAGTCTGCTATAGTCCACCCAAGCGTCGCGTAACTTCTCGAATACGCACCTTATTGTTATCATGGGACAGGTTTTAATTTTTCTTCAGCTGAAGTTCATTTTCAATCAATACCCTCAAACAAATTCGTCAATCGACAGATAGTCATCTGTCGACATGGCAAATCAACCTATTTACCTATACAGACGACCTACGCATACGTGTAAAAAATACATATATATTCGCTTTAGTTATTCTCGCGTTACTGGATTATTATGGGAGTATAAATAATTCGTGATGACAGATAGTATTATTAGCTTTCGATACGGTCTGCAAGTAAGCGCACAGAAATTTCAGCAGAACACGTTTCGGTTGGTAGGCAGTAGCCTAGCAATTAAAAGCCTGGCCGTATCTGGTCAAATCACGCGTTGGCTTGGTGAAGATCTAGAAAACTCACAGTGGGCCATTGCATGTTGTCGTTTGAACTGGCTAAATCCATCGCTCATTTTGACGTTTTATCCTTGCGCTGTCTATAGTTATCCTGGGAAATAGGATAGAGAAGTAACTTGCCAGAATTTCGCTTTTCTCGCTTACACATATATAAATATAGGAAGTGGTACGCCCAAACGGGTTTTTCTTATGGTAATAGTAAATACCCTACTTCTTAGACTGTATCCAAACAAAAACAGATATTTTTTTGCACCTGATATTAGTTTTCTTCTTGACAGCCATGGTTATTTAATATTATAGTTTTTATGGCGATTACAGTTTTAATTAGAGATCGAAGGCGATAACTATTCCATTTCAAAATATCTCTTTTTTTTTTACCAGCAAATAGCTTTTTAATAGTAATTGCGTGTTGGTCGATTTTAGTGGACATGAACTCGTTAAGGGTCACTCAAATATGCTCCATACAAAAAAATTTAACGAATCTAAATTTTGGCTGGTTGAAAACCGCAAAAAAGCAAGACAGCTAAGAAGTTCACAAAGTGGAAAAAGGTGTAAGAAGTTTCAAAAGTACTAATCGTTAGAGTTTATCTGAATAACTTGATTGCCAGTTGATATTTTCCTCTTTAAAAAATTCGTGGATTTCTTTATATAAAACTTAGATGTATCAAAAATTACTTTATTTTTTTTTCGAGCTTTTTAAATTTAGGCTATTGAGAATTTTCTTTTTCTCTATAAAAGCCGAATTTTGCAGGAACCACATGGAAAACCACCAGGACGGAAACCAGGCAGGAACCACCAGTACGGAAAAATTAAGTCTCTTAGCTCAATTCTGAGAATACCGTTATTCGCCATTAAAATGTTTGCTTCGTTATTATGTTCTACAAGGCAGATGTGTTCGCAGACCAAGATGATAGGATATAAACCATCTGTAAGGTATAACGCATGCACGGAATAGCGACCGGGAAAACCCTTCGAGATCAAAGCGGTTCTGTTGGTTTAACGGGTTTTCCCCAGTTACTAACAATAAATCTGACGTTGGCTTGTACGCACATGTGTCACAAAATGATGCCACTTTGAGCTGTTTCGATGCACATAATACATCGATAGCCTCAGCACATTGCTAATCTCTCATTTGTTTATCGATATGCCTTGTCCCTACCATAAATCTACGATGACCAGCGTAGCGCGATGCCCAACATTCAAAAGTCGGCACAAGTAAGGCCCGTAAGCAAAACAAATTTGATAAAGCGTAAATGGCGATTATGACAGCTGATATGCATTTTAAACGAGTTCACAGTCTTAAACGATGTACGCATGTCACCAGAGACGCGGCAAAGAAGTTACCGGCAGGCAACCAACTCAGCGGGTTGGCAGCACTCACAGCTGGCGTGTGTATGTATAAACTTTGGTTTGTCCTTCGTTAATACTCATTAGAATATCTCAGATTTTGAATCAGTATAGAATTAATAGTTCGATTTCGGACATATATTATCTGATAATTCATCTATTTCCATTATATTTATACTTTCGTACTGATTTTATACTCGTTAGTGCAGCGTCAGCTGACGCTTTATTACCTTTATCAGTTTGTAACTATCATCCACAAAGGCGACCAGAAAACTAAGATTAAGATTTCCCTAGTACCTCTACAAATTATAATGTGACATCGGAGAAACAAAGTCTACATGCCGACGTAAACCGTGATCAACGTTACCACAGGCTGTTCATGCATGAACAGATATCCTACAGCCGAAGAGAACAGAAAAATCAGCATTGAAACAGCTAGCGTACTGAAAAGTCATCAAAGGAAGGAAAGATTTAATCTTTTATCACTATCATTGCCTTATACTAGGATTCACTCATAATACCTGTCATGAACGACACTAAAAGCCAAACAGAAAACAACCGCTTATGGCTAGGTTGTACGAGAAAGGTTCCAACGCATCTGAATGATGTTGTTTAGGATCCGCCCTATAATGTCTTTGAGTCGGTAATTCCAACTCACACAAACAGACTCGTTTATCCTTCGGTACTTTTCAGAAACATTTCCTCACACTACTATCTATAATCGTTTTTTTGTCAGATCGATCAACTCGCCCGCAGATAGTAGAATCAGTTTGATTTGGCCATATAAACGCTCATGGGATGAAATAAGGTAAAGTGCAGCCGGAAACAAGAACATAGTTCCTAGTCGGGTCATTCGATTGACAAGAATGCCCTGATAAGGCAAGGGTACTCGAAACGTTGTGCAGCATTACCTGTTTACGAATTCTCTCTCGTCGCTACGAGTGTAACCCACTGCTACGATCACTTACATTCATAAACAAATTCGCCGAAGAGATCTATGTTCGAAAAACACTTGGCAGCTGCGTTCGATTTGCCGCAATCTGCAACGCGTCAGGCCAGGGACGTTTTTCCTTAAGTGATTGAAGAGGATAGGAGCCCATAGTTTGCCTTGAGCGTGGCTGAACCAGCTACGTAAGCAAACCTCAGATGAGTCAACGAGAGGATCAGCATCTACACAGATTTTGTATTCGATTTTGCCTGCCTTTCCAAGCCGTACCACTTGTTCTTACAGTGGTCGAGCTCCACCGGCATCCAAATTCCGATCTCTTCAAATGTTTCTCTTAAATCTATGATCTGATGATAAGTTTTAATTCACGCTTCTCCTGGTTCGTCCCATGACAGGTCTTCTTTCTTTGACAAGAGGCTCTGTAAAACTGATTAAGACTACATGTATATATTTCACCGTTTCTCTGTCGTTGTACATGTGACTGACATAAAAGCCCAAGTTATGACTGACTAGCAGAGTCGATTAATCACTATCTCGTTTCGGCTGTCGTTTTGTAGCAGTGATTAACGCGCTAATAGTAACAAATTGAGCGTAAATAGCGACAGCTGTTATCTCTGTAGCAAAAATGTAAGTCAGTTCAAATGAGCCTATTCAAACATATGTGAACTAGTCACTATAACAGCGTGACCCGATGTTAATACGATACGTAGCACAACAGTACGATAACTTGCCCAAACGTGTTCGGTCAGTGACTGCCGCAGAGTATAGTGCTAATACTGGTCAGAATATATCAGCTGACGAGTCATTGCGCTGCGCGATCCTATTCACCCTACGAGACCCGGCTAGTTACCAACCAACCAACTCCCGTTTCTTCAGACACTGTCACCGCCATCTTTCGAAAGATATCTGCAATGTTCACCTGCGAAGGTTTTCATGGCGTTGACTTCTACTGTTTCGTCAGTTTCGATGAGCCGCTGACTGTTGAGGATCAGCTCACATTTGCTACATTTCACCGATGCCGCTATGTTACATCGTGTTTTTCAGTCCTCCTTCCCGTCCATCTCAAGATAAAGCCAGGTCCCGCCGCGCAGTCACGCTGGGCCCATAGTTGGTTTACGACGACGATGCTAAGACACGGAAAGTAACTACGGCTACACCAGGAATACATTCAAGGGCAGCAGAATTTGTCGCTACTGCTGCTGCCGCTCCCTCTCATTCCTATGGTGGCACTGCTATTGTTGTTTTGCAGTAGCTGACGGTCGTGATGCTGTCACTCGTAGTGATGGCAGTCTTTTCTGTCACGTCTACGGTAGCGACAGTGACGCATACGCTGGCAGAAGGGACGGGACGTGCGAGCCCTCTAGACGACAGGCCGTTGTGATTCGTCTATTGTTGCGCTGTCGTAGTAACAAAAACTATGTGTCTTCGTTTGTGTGTGTATTAGAGCGGTGCGTTTATAGGTGTCTATGTAAGTTACTGATTTTATTCGTTGGCTTTCAGTTAGATTCTTGTCTTTCTTGGATTCAGTGACTGTGCTGGAGGCCTTTATCATAGTATCCAGCGCAGCGGCGCTGCTGGTTGGTTGTTGGCCAGCTTGGTCGCTCTCATATCGCATCTTACGTTCGCGTTCTCCCCACTACCTTTCTTTTTCTTTGATTTCTCTATTTCTTTATCCAACAACCATTTCCTCCTGTCCTTCAGCAGCGCTGCGCCCTGTGTGCTAAGCGTTGTTGCGTCTATTGCTGCTTCAGTTTCTGTTTGGCACTAGTTTGCCCCTTCAAGGGACTGTCTGTTTAGTTGCCTCTCCAACGTTTGCCCGCTTTATCAAAGATGGTTCTAAGGGACAAAGGGATTTTGGGCCACGGCGACAGGGAGAAAATGGACTTGCAGGAACAACATTGAAGTGAACCACGAAGGCAGCATCGAAAGCGCACAAAATGACACACCATAAAAAGAGAATAGTGAACAAAAACCAACAGGCAGAAGACCCCGTTGTTGGCGAGTGGTAAAAATAACTGCGGCGAGCCCGCCGAAAAGGCCGTTCTCCGTGTACACGAGGAAGAGGCGGAAGGCTGCCGCGCATTGAGATAGATGACTCACCAGTGACAGCAGCAGACGCGCGGCGCGGATGGGTCGCTAGAAGCAGATAGGGTGTTGTTATTGTCGTCTGCTCTGCCATCGTTATTCGTGGCAGCCATAACGAAACAAATTGTAGCCATGACTATGATGTGACGATAATATATATATTACGTTCCATAATATTCCTTTGAAGAAGCTTACGAAACGAGAATTCCTAATCGAAAATAAAGAAGACTACTAACAGATGGACGATAGAACAGTACCTAGTGTTTCAGTAAATTACTTTTATGACAAATGAATCTTCGTACAATACAGCAACATGCAACATGAGAGCGTATCTATTTCCTCACCAAACAATAGATTGGTTTTGTTTGCGGTTTTTCTAGAAACGACAAGTGGGGTATCTATGGTTGACGCGTCCGTTTCAGCTTGTGATCAATGATTTACACAATGTCAAGGCCGTATTACAAGCTACAATACTTATAGTGTCTTATAATCATGATATCACTCTAATTGATGTCCGAGAGATTTTTGGGAAGTTGACGCGAAACTAAATACAGACAATTTGCGGCGTAATATATCCACATGAATCGAGCGTGAGTGTGAACATTTCTCATCGGATATACTTGTTTCGTTCCTAACTGTAGATGTTTCAGTCCTATAGACGTCACTTCTATGAAAGACTCTGTAGGAAAAACTCAGTGGTATGAAACCGAGAAAACCATGCGAAACGAGCATGATCTGGAAATTTTGAGTTCACTTAGTTTAACTTTCCAGAGGCCTCAACGGCAGGTACCGCTGGCTTGCCATACTATATGCACTTATTTTAAAGGCAAAAGTCTCATTACGCCTGATTAATCCCAGGCAGCAAGAACCGGAGCGGACGATACTGGGGTACCGTAAAGCGACTAAGGAGAAAAATTCTCAGAGACCCCTAACCCTCAAGCGAAGCTGCGCAGAGATACGGCAACTCTCGAGTAGATCAGGACACGACGGCTGGCCAAACAGACCAACCATCAAGGTAAATCAAACACCTTGCCACATTGGTTAATGGCTGGCCGATATTTAGGTTACTATGCAAGATCGTTTGATATGCAGTTTCCTTTTATCATATGAATTTACTTGAACGAACTTACTTGAAGATTTTCACAAAGTTCCCGAAAACTCATAGCATTTTGAAATCTTCACCACTATTGGGCTACTAGCCTTTATCGCTCTTTTAAGTAATTTTCACTGTACATATGTTGAAGCCGTGATGCATCTATCATGTGTCTTCATAGACAAACACTGATCTTCATGAGCAATTAGTGCCCAATCTTTGATATAAATAACCGCTATTGTTGATGACTTTGAGGTATAGTGTCTATACGAGCGTGTTTATGCATATCATTAACGATTACGATATGTACGGTAGGCATTTCCCTTATAAGTATTATAGAGAATAGTACACGGAAAGTTTATCAGACTGCTACTATATAGTTGCATGAATTAATAGTTTGTTCGTCTCGAGGATTATTCGAGCAACGAAGATATTGAAGAGAAAGGCTATATTTCGTCGATGGCTTTCGTTTGCTCATCTACTGCATTGTAACATGTGAGAGGAAATAATGCCCTTCTTTCGCAACGTCCGTTACTAGATATCAGTAAATTGTATTCCGTTAGAGCTGCTGTGAGTTCGACTAGTCTGAAATAGCTCATTGTTATTTGGTTCCTTATAGAACGATAACACTTTTCGAGGTCTCACAATGAAGATAATGCAAGCGAGAATTGCAATCTAAATTCAACTGCAGACAGTCCCCCAATGCTGATGACCTGCTGTGTAAAAACCACAGTAATTGTTCCCCATAAAACTTTCTACAGGCAAATATAATATACGTTTTATTATGCTAAATTATGGACTGAACGTACTACGATGATCCTAAATTTAATTCTTGGACAGGAAATATAAATGAGCATGATTATGCAACAATGTACGAATGCTTACACGTAGCAGACGTGTTCTTCTCTCTGGCTCAGGGGGGTGAGATAGCTTCATGCAACATTCAAACTTCTACGAAAGATGTTTGATTTATTCGTTTGTTACTGTTTTCATTGATGATAACATCCACATTAGCTACTGTTTACTCAGGTTTCGTATCCACAACTATCACAAAGGTCGCGGATACGATGGAACTACGCGCAGACTAGCGTTGTTGCCTATCTGCTTTCTTTTGCAGAGTCAAAGCCGTTTGATGATTTCGTTGCCATTGCATCATATACAGTCTTCAAAGCGGTGTTATATATATATATATATATATATATTATAAAATAAAGCTTGTACAGTCTCATTGTATGTCTTAGCTTTACCTCTAGCATGTTTACATAGTTTCGTGTGTGTTGAAATAGCATCAGTTATATTAATATACGGTAAGCTTTGTTTGAGCAACGCTCATTTGGAACATGAAATAAATGGTGTAACAAGCATTGGTTCATATCGATAGTGCTCATTCGATTCTATGCTTTAACCACACCTCAACCTAAAAGTTATAGATATCTTCCTCTAGGTCCGCGTTAGCTCCTTGCAATCGTAATACTGACCGTGCGCGGTTTACCACCTGTAGCTTATACGGATTAGGCCAAGCTGTTTTTTACGATTTTTGTTAAATGCCGAATTAACCCTCAAGGTTGTCGCTGCTTCAGTTGCCACCGGCCTTAACTTATGTAGCGCGTACTACAATTAGATGAACTAGAATTAGTTCGAGTGCAATTACTTCTGTCTTAGCTGCTGTCAATATATAACATCCGACGCATTTGCAAATCGCTATACTAAACAAGTATAGCTACTTCTAGCCTGATGCGAACACGATATCCTACTCAGGACAAAAGGACAAAACATATCAAGAACCACTAACCAATCAAGTTACGGAGGGGCTGCTGCTCGTGGACGACCTTGTTAAAGCCAGACAAGAGCCAGAGGACGAGCAACAATAGTAACAGGCCATGGATAAATGCGCGGCTACTCTCGTGGCGGCGGTTGTCCCTGACCAGTTATCTGACGCCATCTGTGCGTGGCACAAAGGCAGGACAAATCCGTCCGGTCCCGCCGCTTAGCATCGTCTATTCGTCCGTTCTCGCAGCAGCCCTCCCCCCTCCCCAACGTAGACACTCAGTTTGTATAGGTCGGGTGGCCATCAGCTTTGTCTCTCTTTTTCTCTCGGAAAGGAGAAGCCGACCACCTTTCAATGGGTCGATTGCAGAGCGCGGCAAGAATTACTGTAGCAACACTTTGGAATTTTCGTTTAAATTTTGGCAAATGGGGGCAGCGGTAGCGGCAGCACCGACCGCAGCAGCTGATATAAGCTAGTAAAATCTTTATAATCTGTTTTGCTCCAAGACGACCACTGGAAAGTTGTTAAATTGAAACGAAATGCAATTTAGCCCATGGAACTTATGGCATCAAAACGGGAGGGAGGTTAGGGAGAGGACTACAAAAAAGAGCTGTGCAGTTAGATTGGTGAAGTAATAGTAGAGAGAGGGTTTTTTTGTAATAGTCGGAGATGAAATAGGCCTACGTATCGATCGAATCCAGTAAAAACAAAAATGGTGCGTTTTTTTTTTATTCATAATCTTTTAGGATCGCATCCTAAGACCCATAGAAACTATAGATTCGAACTACTAATAGCATGGCCAATCAATGCGAATCGCAGGTTTTTATGTTTACGCGTGAATACATACATACCAGAAAATATCTAGTTAGCCCGCATAAGCTTCGTAATCGGTAACAAGGGGCAATGAGCTGAAATCTAGACTTTCGTAAGCTCACCTTACCAGAGAACGCAGACAAGCAAAATAATAATATATAGCATAGTCGAGTAAAGTTCGCGTCTGTTGTGGTGTAACATTTTAGTCTGAAAAATGCAGAACCTCATATCTTTTTGACTGTCAGGAGAACCGGCAACTTCTGTCTAGAGAAGCTGTAGCAAACCGTCGCGTATCCGAACGACGAACATGTTCGGATGACACTGTATAAAAAGTGGTACGTAGCGACACGCTTGAGAACGAAAGGTATTCCAGCAACTACACGTCCTACCCACAAAGCAAGTACACGTGTTAGTTTTGAATCCGTGCTTTGAGTGACCTTATTTTTTTCTACCTGATTTATTTTGCTCTCTCGATCTTCTTACCTAGTTTCTGCGAATCCAAACTAACTTCCACAAATAGGTATACGTAGCTTTGATACAGGCTTGATCAGCCATTTACTGACATAAGTGGCTAGAGTAACGACCTCATCCTTCATAGATACACCCACTATCCAGAATGCATGACTTGCTCTCAAAAGGCTTTTTTGACAGTAATAGCTTCGAACATGTCTCTAGATACATAAGCTCTATTACAACAACTACACGCCTCATGCTGCTCTAACGTTCGTTGGCTGATACTTGCATGGGTTATAGCCGTGTTATCAACGAAGTTTGGACTCTAACGGTTCCCGCCCTGGATAGACATAGCTTACTCACCTGCTAGCGATAACTCTCAACAAGCCACAGTCCCCCAGAGACTTAGCTATGTCTGCGTCTTTGTTTTAGCCGTACGCCTCTTTGTTTGCTACCACCAAGACGGCCCTAGCCTCATCCTGAACTGGTTCAACAATTCTTCCGCGTTAAATCGACAGAACTCGCTCAAGAAGCAGAAAAACAATGGAAGACAATGAAAAAGGTGGGAATGGTGGCTGCAGGACAACGCGAATAACGACGTAAGATCAGTGCGCTCAGACAGAGTCACAATCGGAGATGAACAGTACTGACGCTGGACCGCCACAACGGCTGCAGAACCAACTGTCAGGAACAAAGAAATTTATCGCTGCCGACCAAATGGCGAACTGTGCGGGCTTTGCGTTCGGCCTACAGAACTATGCCGGCGTCATCGAGGACAGAGATGGAGCCCCGACTTGCGCAGTTTCGCAAGCCTGTGGTGGGTGGATGGCACTGTTCATCGTATTCGGACTATGCCATACGGTTGGTCAAACGGAAGTCCAATGTAACAGCAGTAGCACAAGTAAAACGAGTAGCGGAGCAGCAACATGGATTCAGACAAACACATAGGCATACGCTTGTGTCGACACAGAGACAAACAAACACCTGGTAGAAGGATGGAGCAGTCTGGGGAGACGATCAAGATCAAAGGAAGAAGAGGTCAGAAGCTGTGCGTCTTCAAGGCAAAGGTGTAATTATTGTTTGCGTAGCCAGCTGTAGTCGGGCAATAGCTTCTCGCAGGTCGCTGCTGCAGGTAGAATGTCAACGGTCACGATCATCGTTATTAACACAAACAATTCGAAGTAGTGCCGAAATACGACACGATGATCCTTTTGGATTTGTATGGCAATCAAAAGTAACCCGTGCGATTAATTTCAGGCATGGATGTGCTTTATTGTCAAGTAGCATGAAAGGAAATTATCAGTTGACTGTATGATCGAACGTTTATACGCACTAATATGTTACCGAAGAAAAACAAAATTAACGCAAGAGCGAACATTCAATCGTCTACACCAAGACCTTCAATGAGTGCTACTACTAGCGACCATTACGGGCGCTAACAGCCACCATTGATAGTAATCAATAAAAAGTGACATTACAAGTGAAAGGCCGAGTAACGTGCAAAATGCGACACCAAGTAAGAAACAATCTAGTTTCTAGGGCAAAACGACATTCAGAAATTCTATGAAGTAAAAAGGCCAATCCCATCAATTGACAATATGAACCAGAATCTTTGAAGTGTCGTTCATACTTTTAAATTTTCACGATGAGTCAAAAGTGCACCTGGTTGGTTATCATGTGGCGCAGTTTCTACGTAGCATTTATAATATTCTGGATAACCGCTCCTTATCATGTCAAAATATTATTTCAACCTTAAAAGTTTTTTTATGAGCTCTCACACGCAAAACACGCACCTATATTTTCACGAGGCCGTATTTATATTTTTCGCTTAGTCCAAGGAGAATTTTGCTAAAAACCGGGAACCTTTTCGGTTACATGTACAGAAGAAGTTCATAATCAACCCCAAGGGTCTCCTTCTACAAAAGTTCTTCGAAAGGGAAGATTGATTCCGCAGTTATATATTATGCTTGGGCTACCTTGCGATCCGTTCGCATCCACTAGAACTGGTAATAGTACCAGACAACCAATGAAGTTCTCTTATAGGCCTTTTTGGGGCTTTATTTACATTACTCTAAAATTTATTCTGTTTTCTTTAGCTTCATCTAATTTCAGTTTACCCATTGTTTAAATCTGTCAACGTACGCCCCACCGCCGAAACACTGGGACCAACCACATATTAGCCCAGTTATAAACACAGGTACGTACCTTGATGATGAGCTCAATCTCGGGGATGTCCTCATTGGCCATTGTCGAATTCGTTTGTTTTAAAGATGTCCTTCAAAGATAAACTTTGGGATAATAGCTTTGCAATTTTCGTAGCACACTTACTGCTCCACAAACAGTACTCCGTTGAAACCTTCTTTTCACTCACAGTGACTTCGCCGAGCTGCACCAAGACGACGCCGCTGTCTAACCGCGATATAGTTGGCTTCTATTAGAAAACGACTCGTTATTCAGCTAAGCACTATCGAAGCAGAAGTGTGATAATATCCAATCAGATGAATATCCAGCGACAAGGCACTTGGAGTGGGCACCTGCGTAGAGAGTTCTGCTCTGCAAGGGAGTCAGCAATAAAGTCGATATGCAACAGTCGACTAGGCAAACACGAAACGCCTGCTTTCTATTAGCTGGCCGCAGTTCATTTAACGGATAGACGGGTTGGTTACTACTATCATCGGGTTTACAACAAGCGCTGCTCTATGTCACAGCCGCGTGACTCGCCCTAATGATACAAGAGGGCGCGCACAGCCAGCAGCCCTGGGAGAGGGCTACGAACGAGAAAGGGCGCATTTTTTTAAATCCAGTGTGGCGCGTGTTAACGAACAGTTAGGTTTTGTGATCATTGATGTTAGAGACACGTTGTGATCTAAGTTCGAACTCGGACATAGACAGACTCGGTTTCGTGCTGGGAGCCGGCCGTCTAACGGCGATACCGGCCGTAAGACCCGCTACATAGAGGTTCTGCGGTGAAAAACAATGTGCGATCATCTATATGATATCAAATTAGTTCTCAATATGCCTATTAGTTCAGTCAAAAGGGATCGAGCAGATCCCTTGTTTGCCATATAGCCTGTTGTGTGCAAGTCTCAAACAAATTGATCGTAACGTAAATTATTTCTAAATTACTGAGCTGCATAGGTGATAAAGTACATTTTTTCCTAAAATCTTTTCACCATAAGTTTTTGTTAAACCACGGTTATTATCGACCACTGTCCCTCCATGTGATTAATGGCATTTTAACTGCGGTAAACAGGATATACAGAGCAACATTTCAAATCCCTTGAATAATGAGGTGATAATAATAGTGTGAGGTGCTAAGTTGAATGATTTTTATTACTGAACGCCCTAGGACGTTTTGAAGGTAGATTGCACGAGGTATAGCTCAGAATCATAGTTTCCGTGGCTCTACAGTTTACTCGATCTTTTTATGATAAGTTAAAATTATTTTTCTTTTTTAATCCTAAGGAGCTTTTCAATCTATTTCGAGAACTGTTAATTTGGAAAATAAAAACCATAACATATTAAGTGTACAGTGTCCACTAAAAAGGAAGCGCATTTTAGGGTAGGGAGTAATCGTGTAATATAGTTCTGTAGATCCTGTCAGTACTGATTGAAAAACGGGGAAGTAGCATTGTAAGCAGGTTAATTGAATAGGCCGAAGTTTATCATAGCTATATATAACTGGTGACAAACTCCGCTGATTGGTGCTAGAGGTAAGGTCTCTAATCGCTTACTGAATTTTTACAGTTAGCCTAATATCGTTTACCACACGCAGCAGGAACCTTTTCAATGAACGCATGAAGACTTCGAATAATTTTCGAAAACTAAAAAGCTATTTTTCGCATGACAACTGGGTAATATGGTCGCTTTAATAATTCGAGACCCATTTAGTCGTGTTTATGACTTACGCGGAGATGCGCCGGACTGATGAGGTCTGGCTTTACTTATAACAACCATTTTTCTGCTTCCAATCCACTGCCGCTCTTTCGCTCTCTATTCATCATGTAGATACAAAACAACCCTTGACAGGCTGCGCGTGTGTTTAATGTATCTTGATTTATTGACTATTGTCACTTCATCCATCGAGATACGACGTTCCGACATTGAATTTCAAATATCGTTTTAGTTATATAGATATATCAGTCCAATATCTGAGGCACAAAAAATGCCAGATATTCTAGAGGCTATCAAAAACTAAGACAGAGAACCGAATCGCATTTCGGCCATCGTTGCGTAGCTCTCATACAAACGAAACGTATTTACTGTTAGCATTTATGAGTTTTACTTAATATTGTATACACCCAGAGGTTAAGTTCGTTTAAAATATTTATCTTTTCAAAATAAAATACGTTGAAATGTCTGTTGGACAAAATGTACAGTTAGTTCTTCGCATCATTCAGAGTTACCGACGCTATCAAGGGTATTGCATGACCTCTGGGGATAATTCTATTACCTATACCTACTCCCAGACGATAATTTTAATTATTTAGGGACAGTTCTAATGATATGCAAACGCGAATATCGTCAATAGGCGTAGGTTAAAAAGACTACATCTCTAACAGATTTAATCCACAGTCTTATTTCGCAGCCTGAATTTTTATAGGACAACCTTGTACTATCCGCATTCTTTAAGCGAAACATGCACTCCTGTTCGATTACTACATAAATTTCATTCCATCCGTTACAATTCAGTGCACCGTAATGACTTCAATAGTCTTCACAACACAAACCATAATGACTGTGTCGTTTAAGCAAGTAGAAGTATTTTCAATAACAACCTTTCTCTTGTCAATTTTTTTTTAAATTCAAACTATTCAACTTTGTACGAAGTATTAGGAAAAACGTCGTCAAATTTTCTACAGTGGCAAAAGCAGACCGTGTTTCTTGCTTGGTTGCTCTTATCTCTGTACAATGACGTCTGCTATTTATTTCTAAAGCTTTCATTTCTTTAACTTGCTTACCAGAGCAAATGATATCGCAAATAATCTGTTTTATTTCCGCAGTGAATATCCAAGAGGGTCAGATTTGGACAAGATGGCGGTATGCGTTTAAAGGTCGACTTGAGGATATCTGCATTAGCGAAGTTTAAGGATCGCTTCATCAAAGGCAAACTGCTTTTCTTGTGCAGCTTTTATACTCGTACACCAAACATTATTTAACTGCAAACTTAAGCATTGTTTCTTTCCTATACACAATAATATTATTAATATCAGCTAGAGGGCCCCGCGTTAAGGGTTTATTCTGAGAAAACAAATTTAAAAACTAGCCCGGTATTTTATACCTACCCTCAGCTGAACTGCACTAGCGAGGAGAAAAAAGCAGGACGCCTTTGACCACTATGTCCACTCTCGTCCTCAACAAAAAACACATGAACAGCCACAAATGTATATATATTTTTTATTTCAGAAAATCAACAACAAACAATCGGGCTCGGATACCATCTCGTTGAGCTTTGTCTGACTGCAGCTTGTTTTAGTTAGTACGGTCGTTATTTCAACCCATCGATATTGTTGCCATTATCGATGTTTACTGCTATCAATTAGTATTTTGACAGTAATTAATAATAATTATTTTGTTGCCGTTAAGCAGCGCCAGATGTTTTTATTTGGAAAGAATTTTGTTGCGCGAAGTGCATATTATGTAATTCATTAAAATCACGACGGTATTATTTCGAAATAGAATGATTTTTATCCATACTGTTTTTGCTTTACATTCGTATATATATATATATATA